AGTGGCACAATCACTATCCCACCGCTACACACAACTACGCAGTGATGATGTCACCTAGATTGGTGATGAAACGTTTGCAACCAAATTGTCCAGCTCAGCGAACAAGCCAACGACCATGGTAAGAAAATTTTCAAGCTCAGAGCACACATTAATTACACACAAAAAATTTTCATTTCGGGTAGTAGCTGCGTAGAATGACCTTTCTCCGGCGGTTTTTCACGCTCTTTCTTGAACCCAGTTTAAAGCACTATCAGACATTTATTTATGCGGATCCTGGTGCCGGCAAGCGTACTTCCTCGCGCTGAGAACATAAAGAGCAGTGCCACACCCTTCTTTCACTTGTGCCTTTCAGGTGAACGACAGCCACTGACCGACAAGAACAAAACCGACCCGGGAAAGTTGGGCAGAAGCCTTGATCCTGTGTATCAATCCGTGAATCCGTGAATCCATGAATTTCACAACTTTATCTGGTCCTACCTCACCCACCAATTTCTGAATTTCCAATTCTTCTGTCACCACTCCATTCCATACTGACCCCCTTGGGCTATTTTTTTACTAACCAATTTATTGAACTCCTCTAATCCCGCCAGAAATATTTATGTCTTTCTAATCAACACCCGCCATCTTTTAACTAAACTGCATTATATCCAAGCTACCTTCACTACAGCTTGTCCAACCTTCATGTGCATTAATGAGACGGCTTCCCCTGGCGCGCCTGACGGTCTTGTCTCCCTTCCGGGATACACTGCCCGCCGTTCCGATCGTTCCCGCCGCACGAAGAATCTGTTGCCACAGCCGATTCTCTTCAACCTAAGACGCTGGGGTGCCTCTTTCACTAGCGATGCTTCTCAAATTTATCGGAAATCCCAGATATTGCGGCCGCTCACGGGAAGCCCCTGTCTGACCCTGCTGACATTGTAGAATCCCTCTATCAGATGCAACGTTCCGTCCGCGTTGACCCAACCTACTCGTTACTCCCCACCTGGTCACGAAGTAGCCAGATCAGTTGACGGGGCAAGCCACAATCCCTGCACACCCTCAGTTAGCTTGTACGACATAACTACGTCTCTTGTCCGCCTTAGGGACTCTAATTTCCCAGGCAATGACGGCATCCCCTCGCTTATCCTGAAAGCCGGTGGCCCAGACATCCATAATCCCATCCTCAATATCTTCAATATCTCCCAGAGCGCCTTATCAAAGTCTCTGTCATCGATTATCTGCTCACCACCAAGACACTTAGCAATCGGTATTATGGGTTTATGGCACCGCGGTCAGCTGATAAATGCCAGGCTGATTTCCTTAATCAAATTTCATCCGTCTACGATGTCGTGCTGTGTATTATTCTTATCTATCTTTATATTCGTAAGGCGTTTGACCAAGTCCCCCATGGTGCTCTCCTCAACAAATTACGATCTACGGGGATTGGTGGTCCGCTACTGCGATGTCTCAATTCATACCTCACTAAGACAGCCGGGATTACCAAGATCGAGGATCTCTCCTCATCACCTCTTCCCATTACAAATGGCGTTTCCCAGGGTAGTGTGCTTGCCCCCTACTGTTCCTACTATACATTAATATTGTCACTGTTTCGATCACCAATGGATCCCTTTTTGTTTGCTGATGAGGATAATATAACCTACACGTTTAAGGCCAGTGACTCTGTTTCTACTCTTGTAAACATTCAGGCTGATCGAAATTATTTAACCCTCTGGTCCTGCAGCCCCTGTCATTCGCCGCTTAAAAACGACAAGCCCTCCTACATCGATTCCAGATTACTCCTACGATACTTATTCTTAATGGACCCTCGAATCCTACTCTTCTCGAAGTGAGAGACCCAGGAGTTAGGTATTCCAGTGAGTTAAGTCTTAACCATGATGCAAGGTGTAGAGTGGCTAAAACTCGCAAGCTTTGCACTTTCATCCGCTGAGCATTCAACATCAAATCATGTTTAATTTCAATCTTTGAAAAATTTGAAAGACCCATTATTAAATCCAGCCCTGGATTCGCCTCGAAGTATTCGTATGCATGCCGGACTGCTGTGGAGAATGTGCAGTGCTCGTTTAATAACTCCCTGTTTCCGGCGTCATCATAACTGGCGTATTGTCTTCGTACTTTGTCACTTGGGCTGGATCCATTGTGGCTGAGACGCATTAGCTTGAACCTAGGCCTTCTGCATCACCTTATCTACCGATAGCCTTCAAAGCCGACTGCTGCCCTGAATTTTCTTCCTGCCCTCCCTCTAACATCATGAACTTTGGATTGTTACTGGCATTTTGGGCATGTCGAACCGTCTTGAGGCAAAACTTTTTCCTTTGCCTGTATTCCAAACTATAGAACAAGCTCCAACCCCATATCCATACTATATCACCTCGCGTAGGATTTCGAAAGGCCATCACTTCTCGCCTCTCTATCGTGGGAGTTGAGCGTCCTTTCGCGCTGCTCCTTACACTAGGCCCTCTTTGAAAAAAGCGCTAAGTCCTCCTAAATTGCGCTTCCTCCCTTGTTACTAGGTCTTAGCATGTACACTCACCAGCTCGAGCCCCTCAGCATTAACCCACAAGTGAGACAACTAACTTTATAATTATTCTTGTTCATACGCCACCACTCTATCTATCTTTTAGGCAGATGTTCACTTCTTTCGACCATATTTGCTCCTGCTCTCTGAAGCGTAGTTGTGTTGCAGAGATTGTCTAGCGCCTGCCATTTTAACTATCTTTAAATCCGTCTCAACCGACCTTATGTATTCCCTTACCTCCAGCCTTAAGCCTTCTTACGTAGCCAAATTATTCCTAGTTCATTCAACCCTGGTCCCGTCCCCGAATAACTCTGTCAGCTCTATTCATTGTCCAGTGCTTTGCTTTGGCTGGATTTAACTAACCCTAGCCCGACCGAAGCCTTATTTCCTCGCTGTTCAGAACAATTCTGCATCATCTGATCACACGCAGTGCTCGCATATCAAATGGTGGGTCTGAAGATGCGCTCTGAATGAAATGCTTGTTTGGTTCCACATCCCACTCATTCACACACACAACACTGGTGCGCTTCTACTTGACACGTTGGTTCGCGCCAGTGCTCTGTCGCCGTTTAGCCGTGGTACATAGGCTCTGAACATCTCCATTCTACTCCTATAGCCTGAAGGGTAGTTGCCGTTTCATTCGCTTCCGCGACCTGCCTCTTCCCGTGGCTGTTTGATTCTCGCTTGTTCGAAATGACTCAATTGTTTTACTGGCCTAGCTTTTCCCAAGATCGGGATAAAATATCTGGTAACCAGGGTTATTCATTATTGCACAACCCGCAATTATGACTGCCTGTTAGCTCGTCACCCTGCACATCTGGTAGCACGCACGAGGGATGAAAGCCTCATGTGGTGAACGGGTACGCACTGCAGAGAGGGTCGCCCTGTTTCACCATGGTGCGTTCGTATGCCCGCTACCCCTCCAGTAGCGTGGGTGCATCGCCCATCTCCGGTGATTCTGAGCCTGGCCTTTAATTAAAGAAAACCGTGAAACAGCAACGCTGTTGTTTGTCCGTAGCTGGATCGGACTTGCTCCGGTCGTCACTCGTCACGCCACACCGAAAAACACAAGCGAATGACAGCTGTACTCTTGTTTGATTTAAAAAGTAAATATGCATGGTGTAGCCTGCAGTTACTGCGTGAGGCCCACGGCTAACTCCGGCGTGCAAGGAGCGGCCGTTTTTACCTTAGTTGGGATGCACCACCACTTCATCTTCCAGACACAACACACACCACCTTCCCACAAGTTCTCTGAAGAAATCATATACACATAAGATGCCGATTCCTTACTAATTCCTGACTACCAACAGCAACATCCAGTGCCTAACGGTTGTTTTCGCCATGCACCATTCGTTTTTTGGAGCTAACAGCAATGACTCAACGACTGGTGACAATTACTACTGCCTCCTTATTAGGTTGACGCAGTAGATTTCTGCCAGGAGGCGCTCAGGCATGGAAAAATGCATGTGCAAAGGGTCACGCATTCCCATGTTCACCATTGGTACGACACGTCCGGAAAGCAGGTGAGTTGGTGGAGCTCACCCAACACGGCTTAACAACATAAGACCAGCGGAGCGGGCCTAATTATTCACGGCCGGAACACCGCCATTAGCTGTACAGAACGGCCACATTTGTTCAGTTATTCATCCTATATATTTGCGCATAAGCTCTGTATGTTTTGTCCTGACAATACAGCCGTGTCTCGAGTTTCTCTGCTTTCTACTTATCGCGTAGTCTGGCAGGCTCAGTGCAGGCGTAATCAATAGACGACCACCCAAGATACAACAATTTCTTTTAAACTGCAGCCCGTATCCATTATTTCGGAAGCTGTTCCTCAAGCGCTCACTGTTCCCGTCCATACTAACCTCCTCTGTGCACAACGGAGACTATTTTGGATTCTTTTCGAGAGCTGCAAACTACCGCCATGTAATCGCCCGTTTCGACTAGTCCAACGGATGGCCTCCCTGCTAGCCACCTCGACGACAATGTCTGTAACTTCCGAAATTTTGGGCACCTAATCTGCCTTAACTTCCGAAATTTTGGGCACCTAATCTGGTTTAGCTAGCACTTGTTTTCTAAGCCAGGAAACGATTACACCACTTCCTGGGTTCATTTACTTTACTGCAGTCCTCTTTTTGAGTTTTTTCTATTGACACCTTTTTGTCTGATGCATGCTAGCATTCAACAACTGCTACTGCTCTACCCTATTCCTTCCTCGTTCCACCGAGCTTCGAAATTTGGCTGTATTAGCCCAGACGCCCCGCACAGCTGTTATTCATTTAATCTGTCTGGCCCCCGGTCTACAGTCAGACGGTCCTCCAACTGAAGGCAAGTTACCCGGGATCCTGCATCGGCCTGACTCCTTCTCTGACGATCTTCTAGCCTAACCCAGATCCGGCTGTCGCGGAAACGTTTCTCCCCTCTCCGATCACGGCATCCTTGACGTTCGTTAAGGGCTGTTCGTAAACCGATATCTGTCAGTGCAATGGTGGCATGGCGCTGCAATACCCTGTGTGATGCCGATCCAGTAGCTAATTTCCTCAGAATCTCCTCCGCAACCTCTCGCTTGCTCGGGCCTGCAATTACTATTACCTGTCATCGAACGCCTCTTGGACAAGTTCATTTTAACCCGATGAAACTTTCGTTCGTTTGGTCAACCTAGTTTTCTTCTGCAATTTTGGCCTACCTCTCCCACAAGTTCATTTCCATATATGGCATTTGTTTGGCCCCATGCATTAGCACTATCTCCCAATCGAACCTATTCTTTGCACTGGTCAAACCTTATACCCTCTGTCATTTTTATTTTTTCGGTTTCCGCAATTTCTACACCGACCTCTTGAACGCCGCCGTAAATAATCAGAAGCTGCCGGCGCCACTGACATTTCAGAAGTCTCCATCGTGATCCCGTGTGATATACTTGCGGATCGCTAAGAAATCTCAGTCGTTTTGTCTTGTACTAGTGTCTGCCGGCCATTTTTTTAGGGCTCCCTGCTGCGGGAAAGTACCTGCGGAAGATGCCCTCAAAGTTCCACGTCAAATTTTCGCTGAAAAATTTAGCACGTGCCCTCTTTATGTCCCCAGGTATCCGGCAAAATTTTGCCACATCATACTATCTACATTCACATCACATGTTACAAGCAGCAATTCGGCACAAAGGCGAATTAAACTGACTTTTCCCGCTGCTCATGTGCTTTCGTTCCACCAAAGAACTACCACCGTTGTAGGTCTCCTGCACCCCTTTCATAGTCTACAGAAAGTCTTCGCTGTGTATCTATTTTCCCCGTCTCATCCGAAACAGCTAAAATTTGTCTGGCTTGCTTGGCTGAGGCGTGAAAAATGTATGCCTTAGAACATCCGGTGACAGGCCAAAACAAAGCTGTCCCCTCTTCAAGGCCCATCCTGAACAGGTGGGTTATCGCAATTCAGTTTACCCCGATGAAGGCTGTCATACTCGCACCTACATCTCCTCCAAGCTGAAGCCCAGGGTAGTCTTGTCAATATTCCAGACAGCCTGGCCACTCAGGTGGTTGATGTAAGTGGGAGCTGTGAAGGACCTCCTACTCTCCTGCGTTGGATAAACTGAAAAACAGGCCTTCTTAATAAGTTCTCAACGCTTACTCATCCCACGATTTTACAAAAGGAATATTTCGACTCCTCCTGCTTCTAATAACTCCCCCCAGTTCCATTCCTTCATCCGCCGGTGTTCCCACGCCATAGTGTATCAATGAGATATCGATCCAATCCAGATTTTCCTTTCCTTGAGCATTTAGCGCGAACATTCAGCGCTATCTTGCTTCTCCCAGTATCGCAAAGGTTCCGGCCCGACAATGTTTATGTATCTCAGCCGCCATGTGAATCCATGTCCATCTGAGAGATCAGACCCGAACAGTTTGTCTTCAGAATCGCGTACATTTTCCACTTGTCGATCCCATCTCCAGTATGCAAGCTGTGACTGATGAGTATACTTGACCATGGAAGTTGCGAAATTTTGTGGCAGAAAAAGGATATCAAGAAACTTGACCCATTAGGGTGTATGTTCCACCTGCAAAACTGGAACCGGTCGAGCTGGACCTACTCGTTGGTGAATCATAGAAAATAACAGAAGAACGGCTCGTATGATCAAATTTTTTATATGAATGAATTGGCTGTATTAATCACAGCTCTGTTCTGTTCCTAAGATAAGAAAACCTATGAAAAATAGAGAGGAGTACCGTAATGTTTTGAAAACGCGCGGTAAACTTTTTCGGTCTCACATCTGTCTGTGATATTCGCTTCTCTTAACCGAACCCCTTGGGCTTCGATCACAATGATTATTCGGGGCCAACTTTTTTCAGCCCAAACTTAGCACACTAAGGTTTGTTCAAGCACAGCGTGGCTTATTCAACTGGGGGCGATTATCCTTGCTTGGTGGTTTGGTTCAGCTCTTCATGAACGGATATGGGTGATTTTCAAAACTTTAAGGTGAGCTGTGGTAGTCTACATACTCAGAGTCCATTAATGGTGCCCGATGAATCCCCACTAGCATTCCTGGTCATTTTTAGAAGGTTTCGTTGCCGCACGCTGCTCTCGATTATTCAGTATTCGTTGACAAACAAGCACATAGCTGTTCCCGTTTAAGTCCCTATACCTCGCGTGGTTTTGTGATACATATGTCACTGCTGTTTGATCCGTCAAATTTTTATATTTGTTTGATTTTACCTCTGAGTTTGCGGTCATGATGCTGTCCCAGCGTATCCATGGCGTTGAAGTTCCAGAGATTTGTAGCTATCCAAGCGAGCCTTTAGGTTACTGACAACATTTTCGCCCTATTTATGTTCTGGTAAACCGCATCCCCTCATCCGTCTGTAATGGGAAGTGCGACTAAAGTTGTTCATTCACTTCTGCAGGAACAAGTCTGAAGGCGAAACAATTTTGTTTATTTTTTATGGCTTATATGAGCTCCGACTAGTCTCTCCCAAAAAACCTTTTTCTTGTAGTTCGAGGATACTATCCCAGACCTGTCTCCAGAAACCCAGTTGAACTTTCGGAAATTTTTGCAAGTTGCCGGGATTGAAAACATGCTAATGAACGATGGCAGAAGGATATCTGACACGGAGGTCCTTAATGAGATCAGAAAGGAAGTAGCTATGCTTTCCAGAGGTGAAACGGAGGAGTAAGTTCTTTCGTCTATTATTTATTTGTTAGACGAACTACTCTGATCCCTGCGTGCATCAACGGGGATGCCGAAACAGTGAAATCACTCCTGCTTTCTGGGGAGTATAATGTCAACGAAGTTGCACCTAATGGCGAAACCGCTCTAACCCGTGCAGTTTCAGCAAACGCCATACGAATAGTCGAACTCCTATTGAAACATGGGGTAAATTAGCTTATTTCTTACTTACATTTTCTTAAGGCGGACCCCAACTTCACGGGTAAAAAAGTTGAATGTACTCCTTTGATGGAGGCTGCTAGTGCTGGCTACACGGATATTGTTCGTCTGCTTTTGGAGTACGGGGCATGTGTAAGTCAAGAATCGAATACGGGGAACACGGCCTTGCATTATGCTGCAACCGCCGGTCACTTGGAATGCGTGTGCTTACTGCTGCAGTACAACAGTCCAATGGAGGTGCAAAATGAAACTGGACACACACCCCTTATGGAGGCTACAAGCAATGGACACATTGATGTTGCGCGTTGCCTCATCAAGCACGGTTGCGACATCAATACTCATTCTAAAGAGTTCAAAGAATCGGCTCTCACGCTGGCCAGCTACAAAGTGAGTCATTGCTATTAGTCTTCCATGTATCGTGGGGTTTCTGCCATAAGAGCGTATTTTTTGTCACCTGAGTTCTGAACAGTTGTCCGAAAACTCAACATCTTACGGCGCCATACTCGTCCACATTTGGCACAATTAGTCCGATATAATCATTATGCTAAACAATGTTCATCTATCTTATAGTGTCTTATAGTGTGGCTCTTCTATCATTCATGTGTAATCTATCCACTGTCGGAGCCCAGAGCTTGAGATTCTTTTTTGCATGGGTTACGGAGTGTCTGATTCGCTGGTAAACTGTTGATTACGTTGTTCGTTGAATAAAAAGTCAACTGCCGCCCTCCACTGGGTCATACTTTTGAGGCTTTTTCAACATCTTTCGACAGAAACATCAAAAACAGCCGAGCAATCCAAGCGAACATCCTGAAGGGTCAATTATCTAATGCGGTTTACGGTGAGAACAGGACTGATGGTTCACAGTCAGTCCTGGAATAATGGTGTACCACCCTTTTGTCATGACTGTAACTCATCACCAGTCTAACATTTTGGAGCGATACAGCCATTTTCGATAGGTTACTCTTCGCAATAACCGTAAATCCACCTATGTTCTGTGACGACACTGCATCCAGGGGCTTACCTGCTATTCGGATTTCTGATTAAGGCTGACGTGCTCCCCGAGATTCAGCGCTTAGCTCTATTTGGTTGCGCCGTTCCAGGAACGTATCGCCAAACATCTTGCAGGGTGCTAGACAGTACCTTCCAGGAAGTGTCGACGTCAGGATACATACATTTCAAAATGGGCTTCAGTAAGTGGTTACGGTTGACCTGCTTCGCGCCAGGCTCCTAGAGCCTCTCAATGACCTGAAAAATGCAACGGAAAGTAGCAATGAATAAACGCGTGTTCCGAATCCACATAAGTATTCCCGACTAGCAACAATCAATTACAGCTCTATGCCGCCCATAGCTAGAGGTGTCGTGGTCTATTCATGTTAGAAGTTGGCTCACGCGGAAAGCACCATGTGGCCGAGTGACTCCGATGGTTTCGGAAGTTAGTACTGCACAGAAACTGTCCGTGGTCAGCATATAACTGGGGCGTGATGGCTCAGTGGTTAGAGCCCAAATTTACTGACCGGGAGATCCGTGCTTCGAACCCGACCTCTGCGTTTCCACTTCCCCTGTCTAGGCTTGGGCGACTCGGCAGTATTCCAGCTCTCGTGCTTTCCTCTGGTGGCATGGCAGCTAGGCATCGCGAGTGTTACAGATGAACGAGTTTTTATTTACATACCTGCAGTAAGCTTTCGTCAGTGTCCGAGCGTCTCGACTTCAATCCAAGACGACCACCCAGTTGAGCCTCAGCAACGCTAAGTTTACCCAGTTCCGTTTCATATCCCCGGCAACCACAACATCTTAGCTCAAATTTATACACGAATTGTGTTTTGACAGGAGATTCGACTGATTCCTGTCGAATCTCGTGTATGTTGATCCGCTTCAACTGAATGTGCTGCCCCGGGCTGCCTCATGTTCCACTTGGTACGATGTCGGCGCCTACATCTTCAGGAATCTCCAAATCAGTCCTCAAGCCTGGACACCCAGTCTATCTGGCCGCGTTCAATGTCCGCACTCTGAAGCAAGCAGGACAACAAGCTGCTCTTGCACTCACACTGGACTCACTTGGCATTGATGTGTGCTGTGTCTCA